TGGTTCCTCCTTGTTCTCGTTGCATACCATGACGGCACTCTTCTGAACGTTGGCAGACAATCTCCACTTATCAGTAAACTTCTTCGCCGCGTCAATTTGCAGTTGCAGTCCCTCAGGGGTGTCCGACATATCGACAAAATCATCCGCAAATAGCAGGGGGGGTGGGTGTTGTTTGTACATCAAAGACCGTTCCGGTACCCACTCAGAACCTTCTCATGTCCGTGTCTGGCAATGCAGATACGGCAAATGAACGAACTTACCACGGAAACGTGATACATAAAGATGCGAAGGCAGCGTGTTGGTCGGGATTCTCTTCCTACTCACCAAGGAGGCGTCGTATGAAGCCTTGAGGGACGGTCGGTACTTGAGCATGCCAATGGTGAGTGCCGTCAGAGTGATGTACGCGATCTTCATCACGCTTTTGGGTGGAACCAAGGCATTTTCCGTGCGCGAGTGCACAGGGACGGGAGGCGGGGGAAGGGTGGTGGCATTGTCGATTGATCGGTTTGTTTCAAGCGTGGTCGTTCCTTGGTAGGTCGTCGAAATTGGGCGTCGTCGTGTTTTGATGGGTCGACTCACTGACCGGTCGGTATATTTTGCGGGAAACACAATGATGGGTGACTCATTGGATGGTCAGTCCATTGGTTGATACATTTGTCGTTTTTTGATCGGTTCTTCGGTCAGTCGGTTTGTTGGTTAATCGGCTCGTTCTTGGGGTCCATTTGTTCGTTCGTCGGTCGATCTGATCGTCCATTGGTCAGTCCTTTGCCTCGCCGTTTCATTTGCGTCGGCCGTTCATGGTTGGTTGGCTTGTTGATTGGTCGGCTTGTGGGTAGGTTGGCAAAGTACTGGGATCCGGGGATGCGGTTGACGTGCTGGTTGGCAGGTTAGGCATTGGAAGTATCCTGCTGCGGATGCCCAATACTGCGCCGTATCCTGTGCTGAATTCTTTCTCGCGCAGTGTCCGCGATCTCTTCGGTGTCGGTGTGATTGGATGGTACATCCAGGCCAAAACCAAAGGACCCCGGCTGGACTGATACTGTACAACAAGTTCATGACGAAAATGAACAGCTACGGGCGCGCTCCGAGGTCGGTAAAACTGTCTTGGTAGGTCCGGTGGTCGACGTTTCCCCGACAGTACCGTGATGTCCATATGGGGGTGCTACACGTGGTATACTCTGTGTTTGCAAGCACTGAAAGATTCGCATGAGACAAATAGTCCGGACGCTGCACAAAAGGGGCGTCTCATTCTAGTCCCTCGTTGAAAATCAATTGCCTTGTAGTTGCATCTGCGCCGCCGAACTTCGAAGGTCGAATCTTTTGTAAGGGTGGCCGTCTAGCCTTCCATTTTCTGCTACACCCCCCCCCACACAAACAGTTGCAGCCTGTCCGTGTTGCGGAACAGAGAGAGAAATGTATACGGTTGCGGTGGGAAAAGTAGAAGTGACAGAGATTTGAGGCACGGAATAGCCAGGTGAAGACGTTGGCTATTCTGAGGGAAAATATGTGAGCTGTAAAGGCGGGAAGGAAGCATTTTCGTACCGCCCAACATAGAGCAAGATTTACCCCCCCGTCCCCCCGCCCGGTGTCTGCCATCGAGGTTGGGTTTTCGTCGCTTGGCAACGACGTTGTAAAACAAGCCGCCCCCCCCCCTCGGTTGTTGCCATCGGGGTTGGGTTTTCGTCGCTTGGCAACGACGTTG